ACACACACACACACACACACACACACACACACACACACACACACACACACACACACACACACACACAAATAAAACGTGGAACTTCTCAGTCCAAAGACAAAATACTTTATAAAATTTAAAAGGCTTAGCATTTGTTGTAGGAATTCACATCGCCCGTTACTTTTCATGCAACAGTTTTAAACTCTTCTGCTGAAAAGCGATGGTTATAGTTGCTTCGGTCAAACATTTTAAATGACACAATGCACAGAATCATGCAACACTGTGAAAGTGATGAGAAAGTACGTGTTGTTAATGACTCTCAGCTACTTTCACACCAACATTGGTAAATTTGACTGAGTTGCAGTCATTTTTGTGTTTGCTGTGCCATCTAATCAGTTGTAGACGTGCATACAGTGATTACTTTCTTAGTTTATTCAACATCCGTCCACTGGTTGACAAAATATTTTACTAACGCTACAAACAAACACGAGTAAAAACATATCTGCTGTTTGTCTTTCAGAGGTGGGGGATGAAAAAAAAGGAAAGTTAGTTATTTTTTTCTGCTTACATTCTTGGTATTTTCAGAGAGCAGCAGTTCAGTTTTCTCCACCAGTTTTCTAAAGGAAGGCCTTTTCACCGGGTCGTGGTTCCAGCAGGACAGCATCATGTCGTACCTACAGAGGTGAGACAGGTTTTAGTTACTACACCTGAAGACGTCCAAGTGCCTGCATTTGACACACACATTTAATGCACACAGAGTAGATGCAGAGCTCAGTTCAGTCAAATTAAATCAACTTAAGTCTTTGTTTTGCATGAATTTTTGTTTCATTTATCAGAGCTTTCTGCAAATTAAAGTAAGCAATCAATCCTCCAAGTAAATGAGTACGTGTTCAGTTTTGTATTATGTAACGTTACTAAAAGTCACAGCATACTATTCCCAACTGAGCTGCACAGTTTGATTTATTTTTTACGTGTTTTTTTTTTTCCAAAGCTGCGGGAATTGATGCAAATCAAAAAAAAAAAAATGTGGTGGAAACAGAAGACTAATGGGTGTTATAGTGCTTAGAAATATTGAGACCAGCAATAATAGTCATTTATGCTTTTCTCCCAGAAAGAAATGGTGTGTTTGTGTGTGTGTCCCGCTGTAGAACAAATCCCATTAGAATCAAATCTGTTTATGTAACAAGTAATGTTCTCGCATCTGTTCACTGTGCTGCTCATTTGTTTTCTTCTAAATGGATCCACTTTACAACAATTTAAAGTTGGATCTATTTTAGTGTCTATAAAAGTTTCCAGTCGTCTAGGTGATAGGGGATTTCTTTGAAAAGTTTTTTTATAGAAATATTTGGGTCTACTGGACATTTTAATAGGTTTTTCTTATAAAACAATCACACTGATCTCACTAAAAGCAGAGGACTTATTTTCAGTTTGCAAGTTTGTTAAGTGAAAACACCTTTATAGAAGAAAAAATACATTTTTTTTACTAAATGTCCTGATCTACCATTGCTAACATATAACCTGATGCAAGAACTACTGGTCAGTTGTATATTTTATTGTAGCTTACATCAAATAGTCCTGATGTATCTCAGTAATCCAGGTAAAAAATCAAAAAGAAAAAAATTGTATAGGTCTTCTGGACGGGTTCTTCTCTAATGAAACGTTTCGTCTCTCCTCCAAG